AGTTTGTGCCGGGAGATTGCGGTATTAGTTTGTGCCGACAGATTTCAGTTATCAGTTACGTGACTTATGTCGCGAGATCAGACCGGTATCAGATATCAGTTTCAGTTTCAGTTCAGTTATATATGCTTAGTTCATGATATTGTTATTATTTACGATGTTTACATTAGTATGAGTTTCTGCTGAGCACAAGTGTTTTGGTGCTCATGCCCCACACTTTTTATGTTTTTCAGGGCGCAGGGTCGGAGACGAGGAGTGAGCGGGCGGGCTGTTCAGGACTTTTGTGATTATATGTATATATGTTTTGCCACAGTAGACTTCCGCTAAAACTTTCAGTACTTATTATCAGTTTTTGTTCCGACGTTAGTCGGATAAGATGTTATAACCGTTTTTAATTATCAGTTTAAAAATTTTAACGGTTTTCAGAAAAATTAAGTTTTCACGGTAGCATCCCGAATCAGTTTTCGCAAAATAAGTATTTTTTTATTTATTCAGAAATTGCGGAAAAGTGCGTACTCTGATATAGTAAAAAGTTGGGGTGTTACAGTGTCCTTCTTTTTAGGTATTGGAACTCCCTCTTTCGCAGTGACTCCCACTGAATTGGTCGTCTCCGGAAAGTCGCCATTGGATCATCACCATGGCTTCCGTGTAAGTGATTATGCCTCGCCCCGTCAAGGTTGGTCCACGCCCGCCGGATCAATAACGAATAATATAAACAACAATTACATAATTCATTCTATGACCCACACAGGAGCCGTACATGAATTTCTATGAAAGCAATAAACTATGCGGTGGCCCACCGCGCAAATAATTTATTACAAACATTCACCAACCCAAAAATTCCTTGACATGTCCAAGGCTTTAAAAACAGCATACATTCAACATGAATTAAAATCCATACATACGGGCCACAATAGTCGGATTCGAAACACTTGCAAAAACTTATTGCAATTTCTAATTTACTATGCCGCTGCGTTCGTACGCACATAATTCATGTAGACAGGCAAAGTCCAAAATTCAAATTGTGCACGAGTTTGCATTAAGCCTGGGCTCTGATACCAGTTGTTGGGTTCTGTTAGGAACGTCAAACAACATGCACAGTATTGAACTTTATCGAAATAAATCCTAACGCAGCGGAATCTATAGTTAGGATATGGACGTTTACCTTATAAAATTTTTGCCGACTCTGAGACGATGTAGAGTACCGTTGATGAAGTTCGTCTGAACACCACAACCTAATGGGCGGATAGGTTTGGCCTTTAGTTGATTCTAATCAACTCGTCAAACGGTCCTCAGTTGAACGGTGCGCGGGTCTCGGTCGTCGGGTGCAGCGGACAGCACGTGCGCGTCGGGCGCGGACAACTTGTGGAACGCGGGCAGCAATCACGGACTCACGCGGGTGCGCGTCGGGCGCTGGCGTGATGCGCGTCGG